TATATAGCTTTTATTATGTTGAGGTATGTTCCTTCTATTCCTGCTTTCTGGAGAGTTTTAATCATAAATGGATGTTGAATTTTGTCAAAGGCTTTTTCTGCATCTATTGAGATAATCATATGGTTTTTATCTTTCAATTTGTTAATGTGGTGTATTACATTGATTGATTTGTGGATATTAAAGAATCCTTGCATTCCTGGGATAAAGCCCACTTGGTCATGATGTATGATTTTTTTAATATGTTGTTGGATTCTGTTTGCTAGTATTTTGTTATGGATTTTTGCATCTATGTTCATCAGTGATCAGAATTTCTTGTATTTTAAAGTTATGCAAAAATAAAAACAACAACAACAACAACAACAAACTCACATTCTAGAATGTATTGGTGTTTTGCAACTATATGCAGAAGAAAAAAGTGATCTGTATATGTTTGCTAATATCTCTACAGCTGTATAATCAGAATCTCCTTGGAAAATTCTAGGGTCAATAATTGTAAAAGATATCTCTGATAATTTTTTGATCAAGCATATTTGGGAAATACTAAATTATTACATATTTTATTTTCTTGGGCTCCAAAATCACTGCAGACAGTGACTGAAGCCATGAAATTAAAAGACACTTGTTCCTTGGAAGGAAAGCTAGACAGCATATTAAAAGGCAAAGACATCACTTTGCCAACAAAGGTTCTTATATCAAAGCTATGGTTTTTCCAGTTTTCACGTATGGATGTGAGAGCTGGACCATAAAGAAGGCTGAGCACCAAAGAACTGATGCTTTTGAACTGTAGTGTTGGAGAAGACTCTTGAGAGTCCCTTGGACTACAGGGAAATCAAACCAGTCCATCCTAAAGGAAATTGAATATCCTAAATATTCAGTCCTGAATATTCATTGGAAGGACTGATGCTGAAGCTATAGCTTCAATACTTTGGCCACCAGATGTGAAGAACTGACTCATCGGAAAAGACCCTGCTGGTGGGAGAGATTGAAGGCAGGAGGAGAAGAGGGTTCAGAGGATGAGATGGTTGGATGGCATCACCGACTCAGCAGACATGAGTTTAAGCAAACTCCGGGAGATAGTGAAGGACAGGGTACCCTCATGTGTTGCAGTCTATGGGGTCTCAGAGATTCAGACAGGACTTAGCGACTGAACAACAACAACAAATTATAGTTTGTGGTGACAAGTTATAGTTGATGGTGAGAGTGATGGGGGATATGTGTGTGTGTGTGTGTGTGTATGTTTGTAAGTTATCTCTAAAACTTTTCCCATCAAGTCATGTATGTGTTAAAGGTCTAGTCAGAGCTAAATTAAATAGTAAAGGTCATTTTAAAGCTAATGTTCCAAATTTCAGATAACTGAACATTCAAAAAGATTAACCATAGTAACTATTTTTGAAAGATATTATACTTTGTTCTTGATGCTGAGGATGAATTACTGTGTTGGGAACTATTTGTAGTATGATTTCTTGCTCTTTATAGCATTTTATTTCATAATTTATACAATAGGAAAAATACTGCACAGAAACTATGCCTTTTAAAAATTATCCGCCAAGTGGAGTATCTCAACTGAAGATCAAGTATGTGACTTTAAAGTCTAGAAATGTTTTTCTTCTCTATCATCAAAATATTAGCTAGTTAAAAGAATGGATGAAAAAGTAACTCATAAAGATCAAAGACTGAGATTTCCTCTATTGAAATCACATTGTAAAAGACGTGTAAGCCTTCGAGACACAGATCAGTGGTGTCCTCACTGTAATATTAATAAATAGAAAGTGTATCTTTCCTGAAAAAACCTCAGATAGGTAGGTAATCTGCTGTGCCTGATTTCCCCAATGTGTAAATCACTTTGTGAATTGTTTGAAAGATTAACTCTTTAGAGACTACTAGATTACTATTGATCCAATGATAAGTACTGTTGTATAGTACAAAATGAATAGCTGGCAATGTGTTGTGTTATTAAAGGGAGCACATTTTCATCAGGTCTTCTATGTTAGTTAACTATAAGCCTCTGATAAGGTAAATTTCTTTAATCTATCAGAATTACTTACCAGTGTAATAGTTTTTGTCAACCTTCCCTCTGTCTGTCAGAGTACTGGTGGTAATATGAGGGTTAGCAGTGAAATGAAATGACATTTTGAAGTGGCACAGTTTATAGATTTTATGAGTATTTGGACTGTCTGTAGGTTGCATTTCACTGCCTAGGCTGGTTGCTTTGTGAAGCTGATAGCAACACCTATGTTATAAGGTGAGGAAATACTTTTTTTTTTTTTTTTACCAGAATCTGGATCCTCAAAGTCTACACAAAACTGTTTGATTTAGGATAAGAATAGTAAAAAACCAACCCCCCCAAAAAACTATTGTTGTCTTTTTAAAAAGTCAATTGCTAGAATCATGTGCAATTTCTAGCATAATATTATTTACATTCCTACACTAATATCCAGCTATAGTGGACAGACTCCAGAGTCTGACCATTCCAATTTACATCAATCATTTGCATATTAACTCTGGAGTGCTTGCCTCAATTGTATTTCTTTCTGAAAAATTTAAGTCACACAGAATTCTGGTTTGCCCCTGTTTGCCCCTACTGAATCTCACTTTTAAACATATGTTGTATTTCTTATACCTGTTGGAACATATTAGTTTGGGACTTTT